ATAGTTAAGATGGCACTTGGCTTAAACTGTGTCGCACTAAATTCAACTTGTGTCGCACTAAGAAATTCAGCTATGATGACATTGCATAAAATGCTTAAACTGTGTCGCACTAAGAAATTCAACATTGCCTGGAATATTCCATAGCATGTCTGGCCAATATCCAAAAAGGCCCACGTGCTGAACAGAGGGAATTGGTGCCAACAAATGTATGGAAAGATAAGAGTAGGGACATAGATAGAATAAGATACCGCACGTCTGGCATGAGCCTTGGGTGGTCACGACTGGCCTGATCAACCATACTGATTACCTAATGCGCATGACAAGATACATGCTGGGCTGCACTGATAAGAAATCTTGGAAAAGTTACAAACTTGCTAAAAGGTATAAAAGACGGAGAAACTTGGCACTCACTTGGAGAACTACCCACCTGTAATGTGGACGCGTGTTGCTGGTCTCTGCTGTTCCCAGAGAGGGTCCCTCCATGCCGACTGCCAGAGTTCCCCCAGTCACGTGCAGTGATGACACAACGAAACCCCTCTAATGGTGATGTATACTTAAGCTGATATATCCGGATGCTAAGCTGTTTTGAAGTGAATGCATGCAACTTCTTAATGAGAGTTAAGCTTACTCTGTATTGGGTCCCCTTGTGGACAATAAAGTGTGGTGTGAATTCTTATCTGCAACTTGGTCTCTGTGTGGTTTCTTTTTCCTATAGCCCAAGACACTCATCTCGAACTGGGTTGTGTGCCCGCCAATATCGTTATAAACCTTATTAGGTAATTGATTATTGCTTTTTGGATATTGGTGCGTCATGAATTTAATGATTAGGCACAACACTAGAATCGATGAGCTCCTAGATAAAATGGCCCGGGGCCAGTATCTCACCACAATAGACTTGTGCAAAGGATACTGGCAGATCCCACTAGCCGAGGATGCCATCCCAAAGTCCACATTCGTCACTCCGTTTGGGCTATACCAATTTAAGGTAATGCCATTCGGGATGAAGAATGCGCCGGCTACCTTTCAGCGGATGGTAGATCGGCTGCTGGACGGGTCCCAGGAGTACGCTTGCGCCTATTTAGACGATATAGCGATCATTAGTAACTCCTGGGACGAACATTTAACTCATATAGGAGCCATCCTCGACCGCATTAGGGAGGCAGGTCTCACGTTAAAACCCAGCAAGTGCCATGTAGGGATGGCGGAGGTGCAGTGGGCAGTGGGCAGCAAAAGCCAGAACCTGCTAAGATAGAGGCTGTAGCTAAGTGGCCGACCCCTCGCACGAAAACCCAGGTTTTAGCTTTCTTAGGGACCGCCAGTTATTACCGTAAATTTGTACCCAGTTATAGCGCCCTAGCAAAGCCCCTCACTGATCTCACCAAGAAGAACCTGCCCAAAGTAGTGACCTGGAGCTCAGAGTGTGAGAAGGCATTCCAAGAACTGAAAACTGCCCTTATTCATGCACCTGTACTTGCCGCTCCCGATCCAACTAAACGCTTTCTCGTTCATACAGACGCTTCTATGTTTGGATTGGGAGCAGTGCTGAGCCAGGTCGGGGCCGATGGTGGCGAACATCCCATCGCTTACTTAAGTCAGAAACTACTACCCAGGGAAGTAAGCTATGCCGCCATCGAGAAGGAATGCCTGGCGGTAGTGTGGGCCCTCAAGAAACTCCAGGCCTACTTATATGGACAACAATTTGCCTTGCTCACAGATCACAACCCGTTGGTGTGGCTAAACCGGGTGTCAGGGGACAATGCTAGACTGCTGAGATGGAGCTTGGCGCTGCAGCCCTTTGATTTCACCATCCAGTACTGCCCGGGAAAACAAAATGGTAATGCCGACGGGTTGTCCCGACAGACAGAACTGGAAAAATGATCTGTGAGCATTCTCCCGGACATCCCCAAGCCGATCCGTTGGGATCAGACTGTGTATGCCGGCTTGGTTCTGGGGGAGCATTGTGGCAAACCCTGCCACTTGGACTAACTATTCTGTGTGAATAGGTGTAATTCACCAAGGGAATAACCACACAAATGGACTTTAATAGTATTGTAATGTGTTTTTTCGAATGTATGAAACTGCCGAACGGAGGACCACCCCGGGGTGGTCGTGTGTTTCCCATTAACAGAGTGATACATTGTTGCGAAGGGAATTAAGTACCTGTATGTGTGGCCGCCATTTCGCCTACCGAACATGTGGCGGCGGCCATCTTACGCACGAACAGCGGTACTTGGTTGTCGAACGCCTGGAACTCAAACCAGGCATTCGACTAACCAAGCACCGCTAAGACCTCCAGCGTGCTCCGACAATACGAAGCTAACACACGAACGCCCCGGCGTTCGGTAGGTAGATTCCCCTAAACGAAGGGAATCATACGAATGGTAGCAATCGTATGGATGGCTAACCGTTCGGTATTTGTGGTTCACTGAAATAGACCGACCGCAGGGCCAGAATGCATGGATCTGTTTTCGGCTACTGAGTCCCTGCGGTCGGTCAAATCTTTAACAGGCTGTAACTCCCGAACCCCTGGACCCATCTGGGTGAATTTCAAGTATGTTGCTCACCCAGATCAGACCTACCAGGGGACCCCTTATTTGTCCCTGTACCCCATGTAATTAGGGGACATCCAGAAAGTGGGGAAAACTCTGTCCCCACTAAGTGGTTTAAGTGCTAATCTAAGGGGAGGAGAGTGAGGGGAGGTGACCGGGTTACAATTGGTTACTGTACAAATTATGAAAGTTACCTCCCTTGCATGGGAGAAATGCATAAAAGCAGACCTGTGATTAAAGCTAGCAGCTGACTCCCAGACTATGTGTCGTCTATTCCTTGGGGAGGTGGTTTATGCTGTGTTCCTGTGATTTTGTATGCTGAATCTTTGTTCCCAGCGGAGAGCCCTTGGATTAACCCCTGCTCCTCCGCTACACAGGCTCCAGCTCTCCTTCCAGGCAGGTATCGTCCCCTCTGCCTATTTCACTGCAGCCCTTCTTCCAGGCAGGTATTGTCCCCTCTGCCTATTTCACTGCAGCCCTTCTTCCAGGCAGGTAGAGAGATCTGAACAAGATACGTGGCAAATCTCTCTAGAGAGATCTGAACACGTATCTTGTTCAGATCTCTCTCCCTCTCTATGATGCTCAATGTCTGCCACGTATCGTGTTCAGATCTCTCTCCCTCTCTATGATGCTCAGTGTCTGCCAGGTATCGTGTTAAGATCTCTCTCCCTCTCTATGATGCTCAGTGTCTGCCACGTATCGTGTTCAGATCTCTCTCTATGATGCTCAGTGTCTGCCATGTATCGTATTTAGCTCTCTCTCCCTCTCTATAATGCTCAATGTCTGCCACGTATTGTATTTAGATCTGTTTTCCTCTCTATGTTGCTCAGTGTCTGCCACATATCGTGTTTAGATCTCTCTCCCTTTCTATGATGCTCAATATCTGCCACGTATCGTGTTTAGATCTCTCTCCCTCTCTATGATGCTCAATGTCTGCCACGTATCGTGTTTAGATCTCTCTGCCTCTCTATGATGCTCAGTGTCTGCCACGTATCGTGTTTAGATCTCTCTCCCTCTCTATGATGCTCAATGTCTGCCACGTATCGTGTTTAGATCTCTCTCCCACTCTATGATGCTCAATGTCTGCCACGTATCGTGTTTAGATCTCTCTGCCTCTCTATGATGCTCAGTGTCTGCCACGTATCTTGTTTAGATCTCTCTCCCTCTGTATAATGCTCAGTGTTTATGTATTTCCTTGTAGGCCTCCACTCCTGTGTTTGGTGGGGTAATAGCTCTGATTAATGACTATCGGCTGCAGAAAGGCCTTTCTCCGCTTGGCTTTCTTAATCCGGCCCTGTACAGTCTGAAAGGCACCGGTCTGTATGATGTAAGTACAAGGGTTCCTGCTCTGTTCATCATTCACCACTCATTACTCATTTATTCATTATACATAGGTTTCTTTTCTCCTGTTTTTGTAGTCTTTCTTCCAATAATTTTTCTCTACTCTTTATTTTCAGGTCACAGATGGCTGCCACCTGTCCTGCATTGATGATATTGTTTTAGGTCAGGGATTCTGTGCGGCTCCTGGCTGGGACCCAGTGAGTGGCTGGGGTACTCCAAACTTCCCAGAGCTGCTCAAAGCTCTTCTCCACTGAAAGCCCAGTATCTGTGTGTATCCAGCCTTCTGATTGTCATTGATCATCACCCCATTTCCATCTACTAATTATTACTTTCAGCCACCCTTTTCACAAACCTTAAAATGCTATACCTCAAAGAAATGCAGTCTGGTTCCAAGACATGGGTGAGAGTGCCGATATTCACAGCCATGGGTGGGAGTTCCAATATTAACAGCCACGGGTAGGAGTATTGATATTCACAGCCACGGGTAGGAGTATTGACATTCACAGCCACGGCTAGGAGTGTCGACATTCACAGCCACGGCTGGGAGTGCCGATATTCACAGCCACAGGTGGGAGTGCCGATATTCACAGTCACGGGTGGGAGTACCGCAGGGGTCAAGTGCTGGGGAAAAAAGTGTGGGGACTCACCCAAGATCCACCCACCCCACCAAAAAATAAATAAAATAATAATATACACTCATATGCATATATAAACACACGCACACACAGACACACATGCACACACTCACAGACACACACATACATACACCTACACAGAAAACAATACAAATTATATACTATATAATATTTACAAAATGTCTCACCTGCATCCCTACCTAGAGAGCTGGCGCGGGACCTGTCCCTCAATCACTTGAGCTTGGTGTTACCATTACTGACGCCGGGCGCAGGAACACAGTTTCCGCCGCTGCCTGGATAAGATGGCTACAGCTGCCAGCCGCGGGGTCCTTTAGGTAGCCAGCGACAGGGAACACTGGGGAATTTTGGGGCGGATTAGTGCTCTGCAGGAGTAACAGGAACAGCGCTCTCTGCTGTGGTGCAGTGTAACGCCGCCCCTAATGCACTCCTGCAGGACCCAAAGCCATGGAGTACCAAATTCACAGCCATGGGTGGGAGTCACAGCCATGGGTGGGAGCTACCAATAGATTACAGTCAATGCTGGCACCAATACTACAGCCATGGTGGGAGCACCAATACTCACAGCCACGGTGGGAGTATCGACATTCACAGCCACGGGTGGGAGTATTGACATTCACAAATACAGGTGCTAGCGGGTGAAGGTACCAGTATTCACAGCCACAATTGGGTTCATGGGTATTCACAGCCATGGTTGGCAGTTCCTATATTATTGACCATGGCTGGGAGTGCCTTATTATTGACTGTGGTTGGGAGAGCATGTATTCATGGCCATGGTTGGGAGGGGCCTTTATTATTGCTCATGGCTTGAAGCACCTACATTATTGTGCATGGTTGGGAGCATCCGTATTATTGGCCGTGGTTTGGAGTGCCTTATAATTGCCTGTTGTTGGGAGCTCCTTATTATTGCCTGTGGTTGGGGGTGAATATATTATTGTCCATGGCAAGGAGTGACTGTATTCGTGGCTGTGGATGGGTGGGTAAACTAATATTCACAATGAATGTACACTCAGGAGCTTTATTGTTTATGAATGTCTACGTTCCGAGCCTAGTGCGGGAGTCCAATTCATGGGTTTAACACATAGACTACCCTAAATAATGCGCACCTCATTAAAAGGAGCCAGAGGACAAATATAATAATCTCATTCAGGAACTGAAGATAATATGCTGTGGGCTCAGCCTCTTTAGACTACTTACCTTCACCACTGTCCACAATGCAGATTATACCCAGAGAGTGTTATAGGACAGGTGGCTGAATGCACTTTCCCTCTGTAACCTGCGTATGTTGGTGGTGGTACCCACATCGGTGCAAACGCTAAATAACTATTTCTTCCTGTGCTTGGTCATGGAAGAACATTAATGGGGTTCCAGAGGGGTGTAGTCTAGTGCTGAATATTTCATGCATTTTGTTTTATATTGTTCATTGCCTTTGAATTGTCCACAAATAATGTGATCAGTCTGCTTCCTCTGTGCTAAAATCAAATCCTTGTACTTCGTTTCTGATCGTGCAGAGGTTGTAGTAATAGGACGATTAAAGACGGGCTTGGAGTGAGGAATCATAAATACGTCAGGTTATATTTTAAGAACCAAACAACAGCAACGCTGTTGTCAGTTTGCTCCATACTTGCCTTATTCAATGTTTGTGGATTGCGATTCTGCACCCTACACCCTGGCTTTCCGTTATTTTCAGTGACCTCGTTACATAAAATTGGAAATTCATTAGAGTGCAAGAAAAACAATTAAAATCTAATCATTTCATAAACTCTGACCCCTATAAACATGTATTACTATAATTTAGGCTTCTTTTAAGTTTAAGACCAACCAATTTCATCCACCTTGCATAATAATCTAACAGCTCGGTGGTTCTTGGTTTTCTCAGGGAGTGTAGTCTTGGGATCTCTTGATTAGAGAGATCTGAACAGGACACACAGATGTTCATACAAAATGTGCGTATCACAGGCAGATGCAGCTCGTCATTTGGTATTTTATGAGATGGAGTTACAGACCTTTCCCCTCCTCATATGGACTCCATAAATCTGTTCACAGAAACTGTCCCAGTAACTGGCCATACCTCCACGGACCACCCCTCAGATGGCTATTAGATGAGGTTCCTGGGGCAGTGCTGCACAGTGTGACTGACATTCAGTGTCTCCACCCTCTGCATGCAGACACTGAACTTTCCTCATAGAGATGCATTGATTCCATATATCTCTAGGAGGAGATGCCAATTGGCCAGGGCTGTGTTTGGCTCCAACCACCTCCGTGGCTGAGATCATTAGAACTGACAATCTCAGCCGATCCAGTGCTTTCCTACGGGAAAACATAGTGATTGTCTGAGATAATCACTACTGCTGATGTCAGCCAAGGATGCAGATCAAGGGCGGGGTCAGCAGCATATATTTAGGAGAGCAAGGGGGGACTAGATAGTGTTCCTTTAAACTTCTGTTTCAAGGGGTAACGTTTCCAACCCTGTTATTTCCTGTATTAATGACACAAAATGTGTTGTTATAGCCCCCAACCATCATCTGCCTGTTGCCAGCGTCATTCTGCCTATTCTACAAGAACAGAGGTCAAGTGTGAAATCTCAATTGCTGGATGAGGAATATTCTTGGAATTAATAAATTAATTGAACTATGATTGTCTATGCCTTTTAATTCATGACTTAACAATGCATCCAGTAAATTATTCTCCTTCAAGAGCAGAGCTTTTCATGTAGTGCACAGTAGGGGGCATAACATATCTCTGTGGCTGACCACTTGGTACCCCGACTGGGTACCTCCGCCAAACATGCTTCCACGAGCTACCATCAGCATTTCACTGGGACACCATAACCTGTTCCAGCCCCATAGCTGCTGCAGCTGGGCTGGGGTCTTGCCATTTACGCCCACCTTGGACCCAAGTCCTTGATCCAGCTCCCAGTGGGTAGACCTCTCCTCCAAAGAGTATAGCCGGCATAGCCAGCAATGGCTAATGGGAGATCGAGGAGGGACCAACGCCCTACTGGGGAAACAGGAATTGTGCCTGAGAGATAATCTGAGAGATAATCCGAAACTGTACAAACTCAATTATCTCCAGGTACAGAAAAACACTCAATTTTACAACACCACAAAATCCACAGAAACCCCCAAGAGTCACATCCACGGGTAGCTATGATCTGAGTGACCATCATATCCAAAAATCCCTCCGATCGGTTCAGTGGTTCGAATTTTCCATGTAAGTCACTCCAGGAACACGTGGCAGAGGCATCTTTGCGATAATCTCTAGTCCTATTGTGCTTTATACCCCACCTTCTATAGACTGTAAGCTCGTTTGAGCCATCCTGTAAGTTTTTTGTTATTGTCTTATTTATTGTTAAATCTCCCTCTTTTATAATATTGTAAGGAGCTACGGCATCTGTTGGTGCTATATAAATGCAAATAATAAAATCAGTACCCTCAAACAGGGTGCAATATGACGCACATCCTAATGTCACGCTCTGATACCAATACATAGCAAATACAGGGCACAATATGAGGCACACCTGAATGTCACGCTCTGATACCAATACATAGCAAATACAGGGCGCAATATGACGCACACACTAATGTCACGCTCTGATACCAATACGTAGCAAATAGGGCGCAATATGACGCACACACTAATGTCACGCTCTGATACCAATACATAGCAAATACAGGGCGCAATATGACGCACACACTAATGTCACGCTCTGATACCAATACATAGCAAATAGGGCGCAATATGACGCACACCCTAATGTCAAGCTCTGATACCAATACATAGCAAATAGGGCGCAATATGACGCACACCCTAATGTCAAGCTCTAATACCAATACATAGCAAATAGACAGGGCGCAATACGACGCACACCCGAATGTCACGCTCTGATACCAATACATAGCAAATACAGGGCACAATATGAGGCACACACTGTAGCGGAGCTGCAATATTAAATCCCAAGATCTCCGCTGGTATAGAAGGTAATCCAAAGTAAAGCACTGGAAAAGAAGGCGATATCCCAAATCCCCCAGTAACCGGACGAAAAACAGTTCAGGGAGTAAACTGACAATTTTATTCACGGCTGTTAGCCTACAGGGAGTGCAGAATTATTAGGCAAGTTGTATTTTTGAGGATTAATTTTATTATTGAACAACAATCATGTTCTCAATGAACCCAAAAAACTCATTAATATCAAAGCTGAATATTTTTGGAAGTAGTTTTTAGTTTGTTTTTAGTTATAGCTATGTTAAGGGGATATCTGTGTGTGCAGGTGACTATTACTGTGCATAATTATTAGGCAACTTAACAAAAACAAATATATACCCATTTCAATTATTTATTATTACCAGTGAAACCAATATAACATCTCAACATTCACAAATATACATTTCTGACATTCAAAAACAAAATAAAAACAAATCAGTGACCAATATAGCCACTTTTCTTTGCAAGGACACTCAAAAGCCTGCCATCCATGGATTCTGTCAGTGTTTTGATCTGTTCACCATCAACATTGCGTGCAGCAGCAACCACAGCCTCCCAGACACTGTTCAGAGAGGTGTACTGTTTTCCCTCCTTGTAAATCTCACATTTGATGATGGACCACAGGTTCTCAATGGGGTTCAGATCAGGTGAACAAGGAGGCCATGTCATTAGATTTTCTTCTTTTATACCCTTTCTTGCCAGCCACGCTGTGGAGTACTTGGACGCGTGTGATGGAGCATTGTCCTGCATGAAAATCATGTTTTTCTTGAAGGATGCAGACTTCTTCCTGTACCACTGCTTGAAGAAGGTGTCTTCCAGGAACTGGCAGTAGGACTGGGAGTTGAGCTTGACTCCATCCTCAACCCAAAAAGGCCCCACAAGCTCATCTTTGATGATACCAGCCCAAACCAGTACTCCACCTCCACCTTGCTGGCGTCTGAGTCGGACTGGAGCTCTCTGCCCTTTACCAATCCAGCCACGGGCCCATCCATCTGGCCCATCAAGACTCACTCTCATTTCATCAGTCCATAAAACCTTAGAAAAATCAGTCTTGAGATATTTCTTGGCCCAGTCTTGGCGTTTCAGCTTGTGTGTCTTGTTCAGTGGTGGTCGTCTTTCAGCCTTTCTTACCTTGGCCATGTCTCTGAGTATTGCACACCTTGTGCTTTTGGGCACTCCAGTGATGTTGCAGCTCTGAAATATGGCCAAACTGGTGGCAAGTGGCATCGTGGCAGCTGCACGCTTGACTTTTCTCAGTTCATGGGCAGTTATTTTGCGCCTTGGTTTTTCCACACGCTTCTTGCGACCCTGTTGACTATTTTGAATGAAACGCTTGATTGTTCGATGATCACGCTTCAGAAGCTTTGCAATTTTAAGAGTGCTGCATCCCTCTGCAAGATATCTCACTATTTTTGACTTTTCTGAGCCTGTCAAGTCCTTCTTTTGACCCATTTTGCCAAAGGAAAGGAAGTTGCCTAATAATTATGCACACCTGATATAGGGTGTTGATGTCATTAGACCACACCCCTTCTCATTACAGAGATGCACATCACCTAATATGCTTAATTGGTAGTAGGCTTTCGAGCCTATACAGCTTGGAGTAAGACAACATGCATAAAGAGGATGATGTGGTCAAAATACTCATTTGCCTAATAATTCTGCACTCCCTGTATGCATGCTCTCTATTTTAAAACACACAAATACATTTTTACACCAGGTTAACACAGCTATTTCCGACAACCTTTAAATGTTTTGCAATATGACCTAAAGTGGCTCCCCCAGAACCAAGCCGGCATACACAGTCTGATCCCAACGGATCGGCTTGGGGATGTCCGGAGGAGCACTCACAGATCACTTCTCAAGGTCAGTCTGTCTAGATAACCCGCCGGCATTACCGTTTTGCTTTCCTGGGCGGTAATGAATAGTGAAGTTAAAAGGCTGCAGCGTCAAACTCCAGCGCAGCAGCCTGGCATTTTCCCCTGCCACACGGTTCAGCTACACCAACTGGTTGTGATCTGTGAGTAGGGAAAAAGGTTGTCCATATAAATAAGGCTGCAACTTTTTGAGGGCCCACACCATGGCCAGGCATTCTTTCTCAATGGCGGCGTAGCTCACTTCACAGGGTAATAACTTTCGGCTTAAGTAAGCTACGGGATGTTCTCACCATCTGCTCCAATTTGGCTCAGCACTTCTGCCAGACCAACATTGAAGCGTCTGTGTGGACAAGAAATCGTTTAGTTGGATCAGGAGCAGCAAGTACAGGTGCATTGGTTAAAACAGTCTTGAGTTGTTGGAACGCCTGATCACACTCTGGGGCCCAGATGACCTGTCGAGGAAGGTTTTTGCGGGTCAAGTCAGTCAGGAGTTTGGTCAGGGCACTATAATTGGGTACGAATTTTCGGTAGTACCCAGGAAGGCTAGCACTTGGGTTTTTGTCCGGGGGGTAGGCCACTTAGCTACTGCTTCAATTTTTGCTGGTTCAGGCTTTTGTTGTCCACTCCCTACCCGGTGCCCCAGGTACTGTACCTCTGCCATCCCTATGTGACACTTGTTGGGCTTTAGCGTCAACCCTGCCTCCCCGATACAGTCAATGACTGCTCCAATATGTCGCAGGTGGTCTGACCAGGTCTGGCTATAGATGGCGATATCATCCAGGTATGCACATGCATACTTCTGAAACCCATCCAGTAGCCGATCCACCATCAGTTGAAAGGTAGCCAGAGAGTTTTTCATCCCGAATGGCATGAAGCGAAACTGATACAAGCCAAACGGGGTGACAAACACCAACTTGGGGATGGCATCCTCGGCTAGTGGAATCTGCCAGTTTATTTGCATAAATCTATTGTAGTAAGGTACTGGCCTCGTGTCATTTTGTCTAGCAGCTCGTCTATCCGGGGCATCGGGTAGGATCAGACACTGTTTTGTCATTTAGCCTCTGGTAGTCTACACAAAAGCGTGTTGTGCCGTCCTTCTTGGGTACCAGCACTACCGGCGAAGCCCAGGGGCTATGGAATTTTCAATAACCCCTAGCTGCAACATTTCCTCAATTTCCTTCTCATATGTTCCCTGACCGCTTCCGGGATACGGTATCGGGTCTGCCGCAAAGGTAGCTGTCCGGGGGTCTCAACTCTGTGAGTAGCTAGCGGGGTGTACCCTGGTAAATTGGAGAAAGTGGCTCCCTTAGCCAAAATGAACTCCTTTACCTGGGCACGCTCCTGAGGACTTAGCCGCTCCCCCAGCTGAACACCTGTGGAGGCCTCTGCCTGATCTTCCCGCTCTAATAAGTCAGGTAGCGGAAGATTCTCCTGATCCTCAGAGGCTGAAGCGCATATCGCCGCCACGTCCTCTCTCCTCTCATGGTAGGGTTTGAGCATATTCACGTGGAGCATGCGTCTCTTCCCTGTCCCTGAGCAGGGGCCAATCACATAGGTGGTGTCACATCTCTGTTCCACCACCTGGTATGGGCCTTGCCAGATGGCCTGCAGCATGTCATTGTGAACAGGTTTTAAAATTAAAAATTTCTGTCCCACGTGAAAACTGCGGTTTCTGGCTCCTCTATCATACCAGCGGCGCTGGCGTTGTAGGGCCGCCTGGAGGTTGATCCGTACGGTCTGGGTTAATGCCTCCAAGCGGTCCCTGAGCTCCAGCACATATGGTACAATGGGTGTCCCATCTGTACTACTTTCCCCCTCCCAGTGCTCCCTAATTAAATCTAAAGGTCCTCGCACCCTTCTCCCAAACAGTAGTTCAAAAGGAGAAAAGCCAATGGACTCTTGGGGTACCTCTCTGTAAGCGAATAGCAGATGGGGTAGGAATGGCTCCCAGTCCTTATAGGCCTCTCCAAAGGTACGGAGCATCTGCTTTAATGTCCCATTAAACCTTTCACATAACCCATTAGACTGTGGGTGGTACGCAGAGTTCATGATAGGTTTAATGCTACATATTCTCCATAGTTGGTGGGTCACCTCGGCCGTGAACTGCATACCCCTATCCGATATGATCTCCTCCACTCAGGAGAATACTTTCATTAAGGCCTCGGCCACTGTCTCGGCGTGGATATTAGAGAGGGCTACTGCTTCGGGGTAGCGGGTGGCGTAGTCTACTATGGTCAAGATATATCTCTTGCCGGAGGGACTGGGTTTTGGTAAGGGCCCTACTATATCTACGTCCACTCTACTAAATGGTTCGTCTATGATGGGCAGTGGGCATAATTTGGCCTTGTGTCGGTCACCCCTCTTGCCTACTCGCTGACAGATGTCACATGTCTGGCAGTACTGCCAAATGTCCTTGGATATATCCGGTCAGAAAAAGGCGTGGGTCAAGCGGTATCGGGTGCGAGTCATCCCCAGATGCCCAGACAAGGGGAAGTCGTGAGCAAACCGAAGACGTTCCTGTCTATATTTCTGGGGGACCACTAGCTGTCTAGTAGTCACATTCACAAATTCCCCCACTATCCTTTCAGAAATGCGGTACAGCAACCCCTTTTCCCAGGTATACCATTCTCCCTCTAATCCGGCCTGGTCGGAGATCACCCTATCCCTGTATACTTTTAATGTGGGGTCTATCTGAACCTCAGCCTCAAATTCAGTCGGGGTATCCCAGGTAACATGGGTCGTAGGAGGGTCCCAGTCTTTTACCTGAGCCTCAGAGTGCGTTGCTGGAGCCGTGGTGCGAGCCTGTTGCCTGGTGGTTACTGGGTGAGCCTCTTGGAGTGGAGCTTGAGGAATTAAGGTGGAAGTCATTCGACCCAGGTCGATTTGTGCACAGTCATGGAGGATAAGCGAGCAGCAGAGGAAAGGCAGTAGGAAAGGATGGAGAACCTTTCTGATCGGCGGTTTCAGGCTTCAGGATGCCCAGGAAGCGAGGCGCCAGGAGGCAGAAATCGCCCGGCAGCAGATGGAGCAGTTGGCTACCTTCAACCAGGCCTTCCTTGGTGTCCTTAGGCAGCTTGTTCAAGTGCTGTGAAGCAGTCGTAATCCCAGGTCGCCGCCCAGGCAGTAGTGCATTTCAGCCAGCACAGGACCTGTACACTTTTTTTATTTTTATTTTTTGGTAAAAATATAAATTTTTGTTTTTTGTAAAAAAAGTTTATTTGTAAATATATATTTGTTTTTACTCTGTACTTGTAAGTCTTTTTTGAAAGATCACTTTTTTTTGTTGAATAAAAAACAGGAGAGACTTTGCGTGTGTCTGATTAAATGTAAAACTTTATTAAAACTTTAATAAAACCGTAATAAAATGTTAATAAAATCAGGGTAAGAAATTAAATGTTGAGGTGCCGCATCAGAGCCTGACGTACTTCACTGCACTCTTCTTCGCTATCCTGTGTGTTGTAAACCATTTCATTTGTATGCTCGGGACAACTGTAAAACCATGGCCGCGGTCTGTGCACAAGAGCACGGAGGCGGTATGTGTCCCATAGCATTCTTTTCCAAAGTAGTTCCAGCTCCGGTACAGGGTATGCCGGCGTGTCTCAGAGCATTGGCAGCATGTGCAATGGCTGTTGAGACTGCTACTACTATCACACTAGGGCATCCTACAATACTCCATACCAGTCACCAGGTCACTCAGCTTATAAAAAATCTCACCACACAACACATGACAGCCCAGCGCTTAAGTAGTTATGAGATTATTCTTCTAAATACCCAGAATCTGTCTATTGTTTATGGTCCTGTTAATTCTGGTCCTATGTCTGTTTTGCATGCTATTCTCACTTCTGCATCTGACTCTGTGTCTATACCATCTGAGCCTCATAATTGCATTGAACAAATACATATTGCCACATCTCCCAGAGCAGACCTCTCCTCCACAGCACTCAGTGGCCCGGATGTGACCACTGTCTTTGTGGATGGCTCTTGCTCCAGACCAAATGACGGTACGTACCTCACAGGCTATGCCGTGGTACAGCTCCCTGATAAAATCATTGAAGCTGACACTATTTTCCAGCCGTCTGCACAAGCTGCAGAACTCATTGCTCTCACACGTGCCTGTCAGCTTTTCTCAGGACAGCGAGTGAACATTTACACAGACTCACGATATGCTCATGGCGTAGTGCATGATTTTGGTGTGATTTGGAAACAAAGAGGCTTTGTAGGAGCAGATGGAAAAACCATTTCACACACAAATCTCATCCAATCACTCCTAGATGCTATCCTATTCCCATCTGAAGTAGCTGTTATCCACTGCAAGGCACACACTCTGGGTAGTGACGACATTTCCAGAGGTAATGCCTTGGCTGACAAAGTGGCAAAAGAAGTTGCAGCCAAGACTCTTTACTATGAAATGTTTCCTGCTATGCTCACACCTCCCACATGCCCTACTGACAGTTTGCTTTTGCAGCTCCAAGCCTTTGCAACGCAATCTGACTTTGATTTTTGGATTAAACAAGGTTTAGAGAAAGATCAGAATGATCTTTTCTCTAAAGAGGGGAGAATAGGCATACCTGAAGCCAGCTGCTTTATTTTCATCAGTCAGGCACATGGTCCCGGTCACAAAAGCATATCAAGCACCATCCAATTCCTCATGAATTCATTTTATATTAGGAATCTCAGGCAGCATGTACAGTCTTTTGTAAGATCGTGTGAACCATGTATGAGAACACATCCTAATATTCCACACAAATCACAGCACGAACCTTTGCCCCCTCCAGCTGCTCCTTTTACACACTTACAGATTGATTTTACTCATGTACCCAAAATTGGTAAGAAATAGCAACACTTACTGGTCATAGTTGATCAGTTTAGTAGATGGCCTGAGGCCTTTGTGACATCTAGGGAAGATGCTAGGACTGTAGTGAAGATTCTTGCTACTGAAATTATTACCAGGTATGGCTGCCCTCTGCAGATTAACTCTGATAATGGCCCGGCTTTTGCCAGTAAGGTTACCCAGGAACTTGCTAAATTCTTGCAAGTTACCTGGAAGTTTCATATACCCTATCATCCACAGAGTTCAGGGGTAGTTGAAAGGATGAATAGGACCATTAAGGAGAAGCTTATGAAAGCTACTGCAGGAACATGGGTAAATTGGACAAAATATCTTCCAGCTATTTTATCTGAGATAAGAATGACTGACTCCCCACAAGGTGACTAAATTATCTCCATTTGAGATTCTGATGGGACAACCTTTTCCCACACCCTGGGCCAGGGAACCGCTTGTTATCATGTCTGGAGATTTACAGCTAATACAAGAACAATATTGTGACGAGACCAATCTCGCCACATTGCATTGGAGAAGCCTGGTTGCTCGCCTGCTGCCTTTGGACTATGGCCCCCTGTTAAAAGACATCTTTTTTACCTGCAGAAAAGCTTCAGTCGTGCTTTTCTGCCTGGGTTTCAGTAGATTTGTTTGAATGTGTTATACCCCAGATGGGAATCCCATGGAGCCCATTCGTATGAAACTGACTGTAAAGACTTTGGCTCCATGGTGATTAAACTGTATTTGTGTGGTCCGAGCGCCATTCACTTAATAATGTGCGCTCAGACCTGAGCTATCTGGGGATATGTGAAATGTCTGTGTTTTATGTATAAATGTGACTTTATGTATTTTAAAGTGCTTTGTGTCTTTTTGCAACCATGTGCTTAATGGAGTCTTGTGTCTGTCCTGGGAGATAATTGAATTACTTATCTCCAGGATAGAAGACTCTGAAACTGGTTTGGGCCAGAAAGCCATGCTTCATTTAGTCACAAAGGACTTTTTACTAACTTTTGAACCCCTTGTCTGATTTGTGCCATTTTTGAATATGTTGTTCCCCTGAATGGATTGATTGTGAATATGTAATTTTATGTGAATGTGATGTATGGTTTTAGAGTTATGAAAGTTGGGTAGAAAGTATGTTTTAACTGTTTGTATAATTGAGTTTCCTCTCAGGATAAGGGGAGGGAATATGTGGATGTAACTGTGATATGATTGGTTGTTTTATCCCTCCCTGTGGGTGGTCCTGTATTTGAAACACTGTAATAAAAACCAGGCTGGGTGTGCCAGCACCTCAGACCACTGCTTGACCCTCAACACGGAGCCTTGTCTCGTTCTTGGGGGGATTCACTGTATGCTGTTAGAGACTGATTGCCAGGAGTGTAAGCTGTTCGTCTGCTTTTCCTGTTCGTCTGCTAGCAGCTATTTGGGAGGTTCCAGTTCGGGAGTTGGAGTGCTATTTTGTATCCAGTTCGGGAGTTTGGTGTTCTGCAGTAGCTGTGCCTGGATCTCTGGAAAGGGGGCCGATCGCCTAAACGGTTTTTACCCCTTTTGTGCAAAACGGTCCGTTACAATTGGTGGCAAGCGGCGGGATCGTTCCTACAACCAGAAGGACAGCTACAGGAGACACCATTCCGTGGATTTTACAATTTGAGGGCAACGCATGTCTCAGTACAGCAACCCTGACAGCAACAGAATGGAACCAGCAGTGGAGTACAGATACTCTGTACAGGAATTTGACCGTATGATGTGGTTGCGGCTGAACTTCTACGGGCCTAATCCAGCTGAGAAATCCGTGAAGTTCGTGAGGAGTCTAGTATTCAAGACTCTGCTGTACCGGGCAGAGGGTGATGGTCAGCTGCCACGGTGGGTGGACCTCCACCGGCAGCTACAGTTGCGGGACAGAGAGAGCCCAGTCTCCTCTCCCCAGCGGCAGTGTGATATGCAGGGAATTGGGAGCCCAGTCTCCATTCCCCAGCGGAAGTGTGATATGCAGGGAATTGGGAGCCCAGTCTCCATTCCCCAGCGGCAGTGTGATATGCAGGGAATTGGGAGCCCAGTCTCCATTCCCCAGCGGAGGTGTAATATGCCGGGAATTGGGAGCCCAGTCTCCATTCCCCAGCGGCAGTGTAAAGTGCAGGGAGAGGAGAGCAGCGTCCTCCCTCCCCAGCGGCAGGCTGAGTTACAGGGGGCAGAGGTAGTTGTTCCTGCCCCCCAGCAGCAGAGTGATATGCCGGGAAGGCAGTGTAAAGTGCAGGGAGAGGAGAGCAGCGTCCTCCCTCCCCAGCGGCAGGCTGAGCTACAGGGGGCAGAGGTAGTTGTTCCTGCCCCCCAGCAGCAGCGTGATTTTTTGGGAATTGGGAGCCCAGTCTCCATTCCCCAGCGGCCGAGTGATGTGCCGGGAATTGGGAGCCCAGTCTCCATTCCCCAGCGGGAGATACAGCAGGGAATTGGGAGCCCAGTCTCCATTCCCCAGCGGCAGAGTGTCCTACCGGGAATAGAGAGCCCAGTCTCCTTTCCCCAGCAGCAGGACACTGTATTGGGAGCGGAGACAGTCGGTCTCCCTCCACAGAGGATGAAAGTATGTATGGGAGAGGAGCTTGCTACCACCTCTCCCCAGCAGCGGATCATTAATGGGCAGGGAATAGAGAGCTCAGTCTCCTTTCCCCAGCGGCAGAGTGTTCTATCGGGAGAGGAGCCTGTTACCCCCTCTCCCCAGCGACAGCTTAGAGTATCCAAAGGGGAGACAGTCGGTCTCCCCCTCCGGCAGCAGAGCTGTGCAACAAAAGGGGAGACAGTCGGTCTCCAGCAGCAGAGCGGTGTAGTTAAAGGGGAGACAGTCGGTCTCCCCCTCCAACAACCAGGCTTCAACCAGGCTACCCTCCCAGTAGCGCTGGCAACAGGGCAGAGTGCCGCTGGTCTCTGCCCACGCAGCAACCCACCCAGTCAGTGTACCCGTACCCAGCACAGCCGTGGTGAGGCACCTGGACATGGACAAGCTTCTCCTTTACCCAGGTGTAGTAACCATTTATTGTGGGTGGGCTGTGCTGTTGATTATGTTTTGTGGGTGGGCTGCTGGACTAACAAGGGCACTGACCGGCAGGAGGTCAGATACCCTGTTAGTCTGTTTGGAAAAGGGGAGAGATGTGACGAGACCAATCTCGCCACATTGCATTGGAGAAGCCTGGTTGCTCGCCTGCTGCCTTTGGACTATGGCCCCCTTTTAAAAGACTTTTTTTTGCCTGCAGAAAAGCTTCATTCGTGCTTTTCTGCCTGGGTTTCAGTAGATTTGTTTGAATGTGTTATACCCCAGATGGGAATCCCATGGAGCCCATTCGTATGAAACTGACTGTAAAGACTTTGGCTCCATGGTGATTAAACTGTATTTGTGTGGTCCGAGCGCCATTCACTTAATAATGTGCGCTCAGACCTGAGCTATCTGGGGATATGTGAAATGTCTGTGTTTTATGTATAAATGTGACTTTATGTATTTTAAAGTGTTTTGTGTCTTTTTGCAACCATGTGCTTAATGGAGTCTTGTGTCTGTCCTGGGAGATAATTGAATTACTTATCTCCAGGATAGAAGACTCTGAAACTGGTTTGGGCCAGAAAGCCATGCTTCATTTAGTCACAAAGGACTTTTTACTAACTTTTGAACCCCTTGTCTGATTTGTGCCATTTTTGAATATGTTGTTCCCCTGAATGGATTGATTGTGCATATGTAATTTTATGTGAATGTGATGTATGGTTTTAGAGTTATGAAAGTTGGGTAGAAAGTATGTTTTAACTGTATGTATAATTGAGTTTCCTCTCAGGATAAGGGGAGGGAATATGTGGGATGTAACTGTGATATGATTGGTTGTTTTATCCCTCCCTGTGGGTGGTCCTGTATTTGAAACACTGTAATAAAAACCAGGCTGGGTGTGCCAGCACCTCAGACCACTGCTTGACCCTCAACACGGAGCCTTGTCTCGTTCTTGGGGGGATTCACTGTATGCTGTTAGAGACTGATTGCCAGGAGTGTAAGCTGTTGTCTGCTTTTCCTGTTCGTCTGCTAGCAGCTATTTGGGAGGTTCCAGTTCGGGAGTTGGAGTGCTATTTTGTATCCAGTTCGTGAGTTTTGGTGTTCTGCAGTAGCTGTGCCTGCATCTCTGGAAAGGGGGCCGATCGCCTAAACGGTTTTTACCCCTTGTGTGCAAAGCGGTCCGTTACAAATATGTACAGGAATTGTTGATAAAACTGAATGGTATATATGGCAATGTTTCTTTGCAGTTTCCCTTACCTTCACAGGAACCTACTCATCCATACCAGCCCTATATGATACCTATATCATACATCATCAAAGGATGTTAAATTAGCTTGTCAATTTAACACATTACCAGTACCAGTTTATGATCTCTTTGCCAGGAATTTAACCTGGTGGGAACCCACATACACAGGGGACTATATTTTTCCCAAAGATAATATGACCTATTCCCTCAAACACTGACAAAGGATATGCATGTCGACACTCGTCCCCTATTTACGAACCATGCTTACTCCAAAATGAACTTAACAAGTGCATATGGCACATATGTCCTGAAAATTATTTTACCGTGACTGAAATAAGCACACAACATATCTGTTTGGCAACTAACCTCCCTACAAAGATAATTACTAGTAATACAAGTATTAATCTACCTGTGGCAGAAGCAGCCACAAGAGACTTTTGCATTGATTATTGCCTGTATTTGAACTGTATGTTATTTGAGCATAGTGGATTTTATTAGACTGGTTCTGGCCCTTTAAATGCTCTGACAAAGGATCTGCAGTTTTGCTATGCACTTCGGATGCAGAGTGTGAAGAAAAACCCTGTTTTATGGACTTAGTTTGACTGTTTTATTCCCCTCCCTCCTAGAACACCAGTTTAAAAACCCTTAATAACTGTCATATATCCAAACGCTGTCTGTCTTTAACTGTCAGTTTATTTTACTCTGAGGAGGAGTTGTTTTGCTGCGTGAGTGCTGTTGCTTTGTGTGCTCATTAAAACAGACCTGCTTGACCCTTTCTTGAAGCCTTGGCTCATGCTTGGGGGATGGGATAAGTCTGCAGTGCTGATGGTGTCGGTTGGAGTGCTTGAAGTCCTCGAAGTCCTCGGCAAGCACTAGGAGCATCGATTGGCAGAGGTACTCGGTCAGAGTGCCAGCGGGTCCGTCACACTACCACACCCCTTTTCAGGATGTTTGACTAATGTTACCTGGTTAGATCTTAATGACACCCAATATTATTTCAGCGACACAATCACTTTAGACAAACATATTAATGCCCTATTAGGCTCTCTGCCTTTTAAAGATTACCATTTACCTCTTAAGACTATTGTCTCCTTAAGGAAAGGAAAACAAAATATGTTTAAACATCTTGTTACACATGATGATGCTATAGTACACACACAGGTAGCCACACATATCCTAAAAGGAGAACTCCTTAAGGTGAGTTCACAAATTCAGAATGATTTAGCCCATCATTGGTACGATGCTTTTACAGGTTGGTCCCCTACTGGATCCCAGATAATGAAATCATTCTTCTATCCTCTTGTTATTACAGTCCTGATTTTATTGGGTATGATTTTATATAACTGCCATCTTACTTGTACATTGAGGAAGAGAATACAGAAATTAATCCATAATGCAGAACAGAAACAATTGGAGATTCTCCTCTCTGCCACTGGAGGCTATCAACCCATCTTTAAAACTGGGCCTTAGGAATTACCACATGGGAATCGAGGTGAAGAAATTAATGAAAGTCCCGCAGGGAGTGACTAGCACCCCTGAAAATACCATGTAGAAGTTCCTCTGTCCTGGAAAGATTTTATCAATGATATGAGCAAATTTATTGCTCAAAGAGGGGAATGTAAGGATATGAAATAGTTAACTCTTCTCTTTGCTTTATATGCTTTAAAATAATGTATGCTTTAAAATAATGTTTGAAATAATTATGCTGACCTTGGCAGATGTATTCTATAACATGCTTTCAGAGGCCTCCCTTTCTACAGGATGTATGACCTCGCTCGACCTCAGGATGTTCCTGTCCCGTCTTTAAATGCTTATCTTTTAATGTCAGACAAGTATGCATGGGCGTAGGAACCCAAAAAAATCTGGGGGGGGTAGCATTTTTACTCGACGGGTATATTCTTATTCCGTAAACTAGGAGTTGTTTATCCCATTGTACAGCGCTACGGAATTTGCAATTGCTATATAAATGATTAAATAATAACTTGAAAGGGTCACTACAGGGACGGGATTTTACTTACCTGGATACAGCGCCGGGATCCTCCTGATGCTGCGCCCCCTATTTCGTCAAAATGACTTAATAGGAGGGTGCGAGCAGGGAGCAACAAAACGCTTCTATTCAGAAGCGTCATTGCTCTCTGATGCGCATGCGCAGCTTTGTCGCACATGCACAGATACTTCATAGGGCGGCATTCATGTCTCGACTAGGAAGCACCTCTAGTGGCCATCTGAGTGTCCAGTAGAGGTATTCAGCAGTAATGTAAATACTGCCTTTTTACAAAATGGCAGTGCTTACATTAAAAAGCCTGCAAAGACATTCTATAGACACCAGAACTACTACGTTTAGCTGTTGTGGTTCTGGTGACTATAGTGTCCCTTGAATATAGAGAGGGAAAAAAGAATCATCACAAATGTAAGAAATAAAATTATTTAAAAAAAATATGCACATTCCTAGCTTAATTTTTAGCACGACATATGACACAAACATTTTGTTCTTTGCAGATTACTTTTTATATTTTTTTATACATATACAGATTGTGTAATACTGCCCCTGACTTAGGGTGACCAAATTTCCTAACTGTCATTCAGTTACACTGTCAGAAATGCATTCCATACATTTTACTCTACCCCTCTCTACCCCTTCCAATCATATTAGAACCCCACCTACCCCTTCCATGAATATTAGAACCACCCCTACCCCTCCCATTAATATTAGAACCACCCCTACCCCTTCCATGCACAAAAGAACCCCACCTACTCCTTCCACGCATATTAACCCCCCTACCCCTTCCATGCATATTAGTACCCCCCTAACCCCTTCCATGCATATTAATACTCCCCTAACCCCTTCCATGCATATTAGTACTCCCCTAACCCCCTTCCAATAATTTTTCTATCTCCCCCCTCCTCCCTCCCTTCCAATTAATTTTCTACCTACCCCTCTCCCCCTATCCTTATTAGTAGCCCCCCTAACCCTTTCCAATTATTTTTCTACCTACCCCTTCCCCCATCCATATTAGTAGCCCCCCTAAACCCTTCCAATAATTTTTCTACCTTTGTCCCCCCTTTTATCTGACATAGCAGGGGGACCTCTGGACGTCTTGCAGGCGCAGTGTCAGACTGAGCGCCGGGTAGTCACGTGACACTCGGCAAGGGCCGGTGCAAGGATTTTTGCCGACCTAGGCAAAAGTAAAGTTTGCCGCCCCCCCATGTGACATCACAATGCCCCATCCATATGATCTGCCATGTTAACTAACGCCAGTGCTGGAGTGCCGCCGTGGTTACATTAAAAGGCTTGCAGGCACAGGCAATAGACACCAGAACCACTGCATTAAGCTGCAGTGGTTCTGGGGGCTATAGTGTTTCTTTAATGTGAGGTAAATTAGAGATTAGTGCCACGAATAATATACTAGATTGCCTACTTACAACCAGATGAGGATGATGATGGGCTCTAGCTGCAGTCTGGCTCCACTGCTCTGGTGTAGAACAGGCTCTCTGGAGGCTGTTTGTAACTGTGGTCACAAAAATCAATGTTCTGGGAGAACGGGAAGCAGCTCCATTTTTTGGGGGCCCAAGGTCTGGGTCCCAGGGTCCACCTTCATGTTCCACCTTCAGTGTGCACTTCCTGTTAGTCCGGCCGGGTACAGGAGACAGATGCTCCCTGTACCCGCGGACCATACAGGGCTCGGCCACGCTACAGAGAGCTGAGCGCTTCCCTCCTGTCAGCCCCTCTCCTCAGGCTGCGCCCGGGCCGTGCGCCCTCATGGACGCACCGACCGGGCAAAGCTGCAGCCGCCTGAGGCTCTCTACAGAGCGCTCAGGCGGCTGTAGCATGAGGGGGACCAGCGGAGCTGGGGGGATTTCCCCGTAACCTGTCCCCCCGCATGATTTGCTGGGGTGGATGTGTCCCCCCATCCTCCCCGGTTCCTACGCCCATGCAGGTATGTACTATTAACTACAAGGAAAACGATCAATCTTGCTGCTTGCGTGACAAACTCTGTATAAATGCTAGCCCTGAAAATATACTCACTGAGAACTTGTTAAGCACTCTTTCATGTCTGTGTCTTAATTTGCTAAACAAGAACTCCCGTCAATTGATGTGGTGACTGGAGAATTGAGAATCGAGGGGAGTTGAGTCCAGAACAGCATTAACCCTTTCAACGGCAACTCTTTTCCTCACAGGCAAACAGGCTCTGAAGTTGGTGGTTTGCTTCTCCATCACTGGACGTAGCTTTGCACAAAGGTATAAAAATGTTTCCTCTGACATTCTGAAATTGTGCACCCACTGTGTGTGTGTGAAAATCCAGGGACGGTCATATCCCACCACTCATTGGCATGACGGAGAGCCCAAATGACTGGTCGGCGGCGCTGCTTTGACAAAAGGAGAAGCATCAAAAAAAAAAAAAAAGACAGATGTGGCGGAACAGACCTTGCCACGTGTTCTTGGAGGGGGCTGCTTGCCCGCCTCCTACCATCTGATTATGGCCCTGGGATATATGGCATTTGAAAACACTATTTATGCCCTGTGACAGAACTGGAGATTGTGCACAAATATGACTATTGTCCATATTTTTTATGATTCCCTTCATTTGTTGCACTGTTCCTCATGTGTTTCATCTGTTGGTTCGGCTGGATAGACTACCAGACAAACTGTGGAGTTACTGGGTGACTCATGGTACATGGTGAGAACAATGGATGGCGGCCATTTTAACTCACAGACACTGTTTGGACTTTTCTACACGGTGCCATCTCTAGAGAACAGGGGACACATTTAACAGTAATTATTTTTCATATAGCCTGTATATGTTCTGCGGAATCTGCATTAAACCGTATCTTCCAAACTACTTAACAGATCTGGGTGAATTTTGGATATGTGGTTCACCCAGATCCCCGGGTTCTGATGATATATTTTTATGGTGTTATTGCATGTATTGGGGTCCCTGTGATATGTTTTATAATACTGTATTTACGAAATGGATTGAAAAGAATGTGTTCATAGGAGTTACAATTGTGACAAATATGTTGTGCATTAAGTTTATAACTTATCAATCTGATGAGAAGAAAAATATTAAAAGGAAACAAATTATGAACAATTTGTGTCGATATGTACAAAATACACTGATGTAGTCATACTTTCCTATTAGAGAGCCGGTGTATTTAAAGCATCTCCCTAATATTCCCACCGAGGAAAATATAATTAAACCTCTATTACTGTTTGCATCCCTGAAATTGGTAAATTCTGAAAAAGTGAGTTCGCAAAGAAAGTACCGGTCCAATTTGTAAATGCAGAGCTTGCAGTTGCATAATTCATGATACGAGCAAAAACTTAGAGGCAGCATACGGTACAAGTTTACTCATCCATATGATGTTAAAATAACGGATCAGCACGTAAACAATTTTTCAAGCTTTTGAATGCAATACGCATAGTGTCCCATACATATTGCCACAACTATGCTTTTCTAGTATAACCCAAATTCTACAACCATGCCCCAAAATGGCAGATGTAGAGCTCCAATTATGGCAAAGTGACAGAACGAATATATAGATGAGCTTAAATAACATTGTCCCAAATATAAACTCCAATTTGTTTCCTTATCGAGGATAAATTAACAGAGCCTGAGACTCAAACTACACCATAAGGCTCAAATTTTTAAGTTCAGTTTGGCTTGGTATCGTATAGAGGTAATGATACTTTTATTGGTAGTATAAAGAAGAGACAATTGTCAACTGGGTAGATAGATAATGGAAAGGTAAACTTTAAAGAAAATTAAAACCAAAAAAGTTTACTCAGGCGGTGGAAATTAGTCATGAATGAAGGGAGTGAAATTAAACTCCTCATTTAATCCACAAGGTGCTAAAGTATGGAATAAATGTATCCATTTGAAATCCTGTTTTAATAGTTTTAAATTAAAGTTACCCTTCCTGGAGTTTAAAGTGATTAGTTCCAAAGCTTGGAATTTCAAATTTAAAGCATCACCGTTGTGTACTTTTCTAACATGGTTAGCCACTGGGGTGATGATATTAAGATTGGTTGCTGTGTTGACATGTTGTAGGATTCGTCTTCTAAACTGCTGATATGTTTTACCTACATATTGTATTCTGCAACAGCATGTGATCAAATATACTACCTTAGTAGAACTGCAATTTACAAATTGTTTGACAAGGAATTGTGTTCGTGTTTGTGTGCATTCAGCGAATTTGGCATGTGACAAAACCCGTTTTTTGTGAATACCAAGGCCCTTTGTTTCGTATGTTGTTCATGCATTTAGCACTATTCTATTCCCTTTTATTAAAACCGAACAAACTACCGAACAGACAGACCACATGCAATGGGAGTGTGCAGCTGAGTAACCTCCCAGAAGCTGTGGTTAACCACAACTATTTGAAGAACAGCTGGGTGGTCGCCGTTCGTAAGAACAAACACGTGGCGGCAGCCGTCTTAAACAGGCGACCGCCCAGCGGTGTTTGGTCGTCGACCTCGTGGAACAATTTTCGGCCACTGTTTCTCATGAACACCGCTGGGACTTCCAACCTTTCACCCCTTTGTCTCCACTTACATGAACGCCGTGTCGTTTGGCACATTCACAACTCACTAACGGGACCGACCCAGATAGCTAAATCCATGGAGCTACTTCTGGATTTTTCTAACGATCAGTCAGTGAAAAACACTTTGGCTCCATGGCAATTTGACTATGTTCGTGGGATCTGAGCAGGGTTTGGCTATATTGAGCACTCAGACCCAAGCTATCTGGGGATATGTCGAATGTGGGGGTTCCGTTTGGTAAATATAAGTTACGGATTTTAATGTATTTTGTTACAGTTGTAAAATTGAAATATTTTCTCTACCCAATTATCTCCAGGACAGAGAGGAGGGATGTCACTGTTTATGTGGGAGTGTTTTATATTGTACTAAATAATGATTGGTTACTGTAACTTGTGTTTCAGTCCTCCACAAGGTCCCTGTGGGAGTATCCCTTGCTGGAGGACCTGCATAAAAGGCCAAGCTGTGGCCGTCATTAAACAGATCGTTTTACCCCTTCATGAAGTCTTGGCTCATGTTTGGGGAATTGGGAGCTATAATTCACTACACCTTCTGCTACACTTGGATTTCTGGAGATGCTGCATGGATTTACTCAGCTGGAGTATAAGGGATCCATTACATGGCAGGTTTAATAAAATTGCATGCCTTGCAATGTGCGCATCGGTACGTGCCATGGGTGGTGGTTAGCCACGTTCGAGGGGTAGAGGCAGGTTCTGTATGGCTATGTACCAGTAGGTCTTTTAGATTACTTGGTCTGCGAGCAGTTATGCTTGGAAAAGGTGACAGGTGATCGGCTAGGTCAGTGTTGTGTGTATGGATTGGCCAATGGTCACAGTAGATCTGTTTTATCTGTTTTATAGTTGGTCAAAGGTGCCGATACATCGTATTTGTAACGGAGCTCCAGTACTCCGACCGAGTACCTCCGCCAAGTCTGCTTCCTTGTAGCTATCAGGGACCCTGAAACACCTCAGACCCATACGCCGAGGCTTGACTGGGATCACTTAGGGCCTTTTCCACCCTGGACCAAACACCAGACGACACATGGTGAAGGTTAAACAGCAACTCTTTTATGAATACAGCACACATAGTTTAAGCCCCCAACAGCCTCATTTACATACAATAGGTTACATAGATTAATATAGTGCAAGGAAGGGTGGGGTCAGACAATAGCAAGGGCTGATGGGAGATTGAGGAGGGACAGAGCAGCTAGATTAAACTGGTCTGGCAGTGTCCCTGGGACAACGCCCTGCTGGGGAAACAATAGGACAGGAAAAAGGGTGGAGGGGGAGATGCACAGACCAGCAATATATTCAACATAGGCACAATGTGACAAAACACAAAAGGAATTTGCCCACCCATAGTGTCTGTCTTCCATCCCCAGTGATGGTGACTACCGTCACAGTATTGGTTGTTTTTCTTGTTTCGGTCGGCTAGTTCTTAAACATTCAGATCTCTCCATTGAGGCCACCGTTTGAAATGCTCTTAGAGTACTTTAATAGGATATCCCTGAGCCTTAAAGCGTATGCATTTCTATTGCTTCCTTAAGAAATGATGCCTCATTGGAGCAGTTTCTTGTAGCTCGAAGATATTGCCCATATGGGATTCCCGCCTTTTGATTATGTGGACAGTGACTGTTCCAGTGGAGCAAGTTGGTCGCAGTGGTCTTCCTGAACAATTCTGTTTCTACTGAACCATTAGGTCCAAGAATTCTAACTCCTTGTCATCAATGATGTATGTCATTTTTGTTTAAGGTCTGTGCCAGTTCCTGAAACTTATCAATGAATCCAGTCCAAAATAAAAGGACATTGTCCGTATATCTATGCCATTGAAGGATATGGTCTTTGTAGGTAGTGGCCAGTGTCTGATGTAAAGTGGTCTCTTCCCACCAATCTAGATACAGGTTAACGTAGCTCGGAGCACATGCTGTACCTATGGCTGTCCCCCTATTTGGAGGTAGTATACCCCATTGTACACAAAGTAATTGTGTGTTAAGATAAAACGGAGCAATTCCAGGATAAATTCTTTTTGACAGGGTACAAGTTTGTCCTGGCTATTTAGAAAGTATTCTGTTGCTTTAAGACCCATCTTATGGGGGATATTGTTGTAGAGGGACACCACGTCCAAGCTTGCTAGTTGAGTGTAGGGTGGGACCACCAAACCTTCCAGAATTAGTAATGTCTGCTTGGTATCCTGAACGTAGGATGTTAGTTGTATTATGTATGGGTGTAAAAGTTTTTGAACAAATTTGCTTGCATTCTCGGTTAGTGAATTATTTCCAGACACAATAGGTCTGGTTTATTTTTATGCACCTTGGGTAGACAATAGAAGGTTGCAATTGTTTGATTATAATTGGGTAGGATGTATTTAAATTCCTCATTGGTAATCATATTACTTTCTAAGGCCTTATTCAAAATCAGTTTCAGTCCTTCAAAATAAGTTGTAGTGGGGTCTTTTGGGAGTTTCTCATAACAAGATGAGTCAGTCAGATGGTCCATACACATGGATATGTACATATCTCGATTAAGTAAGACAGTGTTACCTCCTTTGTCCGATGGTATTATGATCACATTTTTGTTCTTGCATAGTTCAGTGATGGCTCTTTGTTCATTAAGATTGAATAGAATAGATTGTGATTTCGTGTTGACGGAATTTGTAATTATTCGATTTTGTTTGTAGTCATCTGGACGAAAAGGTCCACGTTAGTCACATCCCTAAAGTTGGGGGTGTACAAGCTTGGGGGTTTTAAGTTCATCAAAAAAGGACTCTGTGGCAAAACCAACGTCGCCACTGGGCATTGGAGAAGACGGATTGCCAGCCTCCTGCCATGTGACTATGGCCCCTGGGATGTATTGCCCTTTAAGAAACTGATTTGGGCATAATGGATTTTTATAATGCTGTTTCTGGCCCTTTAATTACTTTGGAGCAGTGTTGCAACTTTAAATTGGTACTTCGGATACAGCCGAAGTAGTCGAAGTGGCCACCATTAGGAAACCGAACACGTGGCAGCGGCCATTTTGATTCATTCAACTGCAGTCAGCGGTGTGTGCCGTCAAACTCATGGAACTAAAATCAGCTACAGAACGGCACGAACACCGCTGAAGTTTTACCTTCCCTGGAACTAATGCATTCGACAGTTCATTCAACAATTCTAATGGTTGACGTTCGTCTGTTTGAACTGACTTGGGAAATAGACCGGCCGCACAGCCTGATTCTCTGGAACTGTTTTAGGCATGAAAAGGTGCTTGCGGTCGGTCAAAGGTGACTTCTCTCGAACATCTGAACGGATTCAAATGATTTTGGGGTATTTTTGTATTTGAAATATGCTGATTAATAATATGTGACTTTTATTAATAGTGGATGTATAGTTTTAGAGTTATGAAAGTTGGGTAAAAAGTATGTTTTAAACTGTACAGCTAATTGTGTTACCTCTCAGGCTAAGGGGAGGAGATGTGTGGGATCTA